ACTGCGGATGCCGTGCGCATGTGACGGGAAACACCGACAGCCATGAATGGTGTCCGCCATTCCCTGCATAGAGTGGGCAAAGCAAGAAAATCATTAAAAAGGTTAAAAAAATAAAATTGTACACGGCGTTCCACCCAGCGGGGGAACCATCCCACGAACGGGACGAAAAGCAAGACTATCCGAAATGGATCCACAATTAATTTGGGGGCTCACATGTTTTCCTTCTGCGTGGTGCAGCCCACAACGTCGCTGGTCAGCAAAGCGCAAAGAAGCCTCACATTGCAAGCAGCAGAAGCAGTGGCAACAGCATTCCAGACAGACGCCCACGCACAGAACTGTCGCCGCCACCAACCTCCTTTGACGCTGCCTCCGAAACCCTCTTGGCATGTGGGGCAGAGGCGTTGTTCGGGCCTGTCGCCGTCCCGCTCTCTTCCCTCCTCATCAGTGCCTCAATCTCACTGCCGTTTAAGCAGCAATTGTACAACAAGACGTTCGTCACGGTCACGTGGCTCTCTGTGTCTTCCTCAGTGCCGTCCCCGTAACCTCAAAGTAGATGTTTGAGATCATTTCAGATGGCATTCCCAGCAGAGGCCGCCCAAGACCAACTCCAGAGGAATGTGGAGCTTCCAAAGGAGATACGCCTTGATCCTCCAAACTCCCTACAAGCTGCCCGTCGACGTATGTCGAGCAGCCGTCTTTCTGCACCGTGAGCGCCACTCGGTACGCCGTCCCCACCTCCCACGCAACTGCTGATGCATTCCCTTCCTCCCTGAGCATCGTCTTCCAGTGCTGATGCTCGTCGTACCACAGCCCCACATGCTTCCGGTTGGGACCCACCGTCTTCACGCCCAGCAACGAAGTGACGCCCGTTGGAACTTTGCTGATGGTCACCGTCGCCACAAGCGTCAGCTCCTCACCCACATAACTCCGCACTGGATTATCCTCCTGCCTGCCCATTGGCCACACAATCCGTGTGCCGCGCCCTGCCAACCGGAAGCCATTCTCAACCTTCGTCGTCGTTCCCGTAGACACCGTGGCGCTGACCCCAAAGTACTCGTCATTCCAGTGAGTAGTGTTCGCATTCTTAGACAAAAAAAAACTAGCCCGGCCGTTGGCACAGAACCGACGCAGGCAGTGGTGGTGGAGCCGCAAAGCGTTGCGACCCAGTCATCCAACTCTTTCCATTTAGTAAGCACGGACTTGATGCGTTGCAGCTGCTCTTTCAGGTGGACAAAAACAAGACTGTCTAGCCCTCCATGCTCCCCTTTCTGCGAGTAGAGAGCAAAAAAAAAACATCTTTTGCGTGCAACAGCGTGCTGAAGGAGTATCCCGCATTATCAGCAGATATTTGCTCAACGTCAAAGACCCAAGCCCCATCAGAGAGCCATACGTAAATTGCGCTGCGACCATCGCTAAGTTTGTTGTCGCTTTGTTGTGTATTACTAATGAATGCCACTTGGGTGCACAGTAGTACAGTCTTCTCCCCAATGGTTGTAGTGACAAGGTCGAAACGACCATTTAACGCAGAAAAAAGCATTTGATTCGCTCAACAGATGCAAGAGTGGCCCAGTGGCCTCTGCCCACGTTTTCCCATTGTCAGCTGATTCGCACACCATACGCCACCACGAAGAAGAGATTGCAGTGAACATGAGAAGTTTCCTCTCCAACTCGAGAAGTATGGCGAAAACACAGTCATTGGCAATCGCAGGCACCGCATGAAATCTCCAATTACTCCAATCGTCCTCAGAGGAAGTGACGCTGCAAGCATGCCTCATTTCCCCTTGTCCGTCGGACCCGATGGTTCCCGCAAGAGGAAAGGCAATGGTATTACCCCCGGCTGCAATGCTTCTGTCCCCACGAGCAGCTTTCAGTTCCTTCAATGGACTCCCCCTAATTTCCTTTTCAAGCATGGACCTCAACGATCGGGGACTCACCCATGAGAGTGGATTCCCTTCATTCCTTTTTTATGGTGCCGCAGACCCTGAAACTTGACCAGCAACCAACGCAAGGTCCCAGTGAAAACTCTGCTGCAAAACATCAGCACTGGACAAAGTGATGTTTGATACAAGAAAAAAATATCCCGTTGCCCTTCACCGCAGCCCCAGAACCGAACGATGGAAAATATAATTTTTCCTTCTGCAGATGGTCGGTCACAGGCTGCGGCGTTTCCTACTGTTGTTCATCCCATGCAGCGTCTTGTACTAACTTACTCTCTGCCCCGTACGGGTGGTAACTTGCCCAAATGCCAGCATCCAAGTAATGATTGGCACCGCCTCAGTCTTCACTCACAGCAAGAGCGGCCACTACGCCATTCATGTTAACAAAGCAATGACCACGGAATGAGGAAACAAATCGCTCAGGAACAGAAATTTCGCTTTTTCCGTCACAAGTAGACACTGACACTTCCCTGGTTTGAGGAGTTCAACACTTTTCGCCTGCTCTTCCTTAGCGTGCGCAACTCCACTTCCACCGCCGCACATCAAGACACAGAGGAGCATCAGCACCGCAGAAAAAAAAACAGGGGCGGGGCATGTTGGGTATGTGTTGCTGCTGACTCACTCACTCTCTCTCTCTCTCTTCTTTCCCTCCTTGTGGTGGATCCACCAAGACCGCGGCAGTTGTGTCTGCGTGTATGTTGGTGGAGATGGCTGCGGAGCCCCCGAAGCGCAGAGCAGCATGTGGCGTTTGTCCTATTTCGTCCCAAGAGTCTCAGAAAAAAAAAACGACACGAATCACTCGGGGTCGCGCCAAAAAACACACACCGCGGCAGACGTCACACCGCAAAGGCGAAGCACTGCACCCCCATCGTGCGAGGAAGAGAGACACGCGGAGGAGAAGCCAGCCGCACAGCGCACCCACACAGCCGCAGCGCGAAGGACGGGGCAGATCCACGTCCCCCACACGGTCTGCCGCTGCTGACTATTTGCCCTTACCGATCCGCATCACACCGCACGGCAGGCTGCGATGGGTGGTGCCCCACGCACTCGCAGCAAGACACGCCGCACACCCCGCACATTCTCTCCCTCCGCAGCGGGTGCCTTCAAAGCGGCGGGCGGACACCCCGTCACTCCCGTGCCATCGCTGCGGAAAACCTGAAGAATCCTCCTCGTGAACTACAGGTGCCTCTAGATGAAAGAAGAAGAAGAATGAAGGCATGTCAGCGGCACAGCCAGCAGCGACAGCAAACAAAACACGGAGACACGCAACGACAGCGGTGAACACGGCGCAAACTAAAAGAGATTCGTGACGATTTGCCCCCCAAATGTTGGAACAAAGTTTTTTATAATTCCATATGGGTACTTGGAAAAAGAAAAAAAAAGAAGTATATATTGCTGTAGATGTGCTTTTTTTTTAGCATCTCTTTTCTATCAAAGCAACACCTTTGATTGGCTTCTTTGTGATGCGTGTCTCGAACATGCTTTCCATATTTCCATTTATATATGTGTAAGCTTGTGTGCTATTTGTTTATTTCTTTGTAAATTTATACTGGCTTTATTTTGTTTTTGTAGGGGATGTTTTGTTTGCGCGACGTTATTTCACAACTGCCTTGCGATGGTGCTACTAGGTGGATAAAGGTTGAGAATGTTATTTCGCCCATGTCAAGCGCGGATGTGGTGAAGCTGTTTCCTGAGGCCATAAGTTGGAAGTTTACTTCGCACGTACAAAGATCAGATTTTGTGGTGTGTTTTCCAAATGAATCAATGGCAAGGCTGGCGATTCGAAGAGTGGAGGGTCTTTCTTTTTTGGGTGAGAAAATGAGGTTTTACTTTTTGCGTGGGGGTGATGAATCAGAAAGGTCCTTACCCGTTAGATTGACAAGCTCTTATCCCAGACTTTACTTTTTGCCTCCGGAGGTTTCCTACGAAAACCGTCGTAATGACGCTGAGCGCATTGTGACTTCTGTTGGCGTAACGAATCTATCCTCTAAAAATTGGGTGGACGCGCGCTAAAAAACAAAAACAAAAAAATGGTATATGATAAGTGAGTTTTACATGGTACGTATGAGGCTGAGTTGGTGCTGCTTTTGTTGATGGATATGTGTTTTTTATTTATACACAACACGAATTTGTGTAGATATATATATTTTTTTTACTTCTTATTTTTTGATTCAGAATGGCGTCATGGGATCCTGGAAGTTATGTTGCTGAGGCCTTGTCTCGGCGTATAAGAGCGTTTGCAAGACAAGAAAAATATAATAGCGCCCCCTCCTATTACGATGCGGTCACTAACTCTCTTCAAGCACATGAAGATTCCAAATGCGCCGCTGCAGTTGTAGAGAGGCAATTGCAGCAAAATGTGGTGATTGACGTCGATGTTTGGGGAAAGCCTTTCACCCTTGTCGTAAATCCACGGGATGTAAGAGGTCTGTTAGCTGCAAAGAAGTCAGTGGAGACCATTATAGAAGATTCTGTAAAGGTTACTGAGACGATATCTTTGGAGCTTTGGAATTTAAATGGAAAGGCGGGTGCGATTACGGTGTCTGAAGAACTCTTTGGGATTTTAAATCACGTTCGGGAGATGAACTTGTTGACTGGTAATCGATTTGATCCCACCTCAGAGGGGAGACGAGTATCTTCATGTGCGCAACAAGAACCAAGTATTGTGAGTGAGCTGGTAGTTTCCGACGGTTTTAAAATTCACTGGCCAAAGGGAATGTCACTATGCATTGATGAGTACATGAAGGCCTGGTTTGTCGATCATGTTACTATTCAACTAAACACAATGAATGAGTTTGTAGGTTTCTTGGCCAGCTATGAAGGCTTCGCGAGGGCATTTGGTCATCCACGGGATAGTGAGGTGTGGAAAAGCGGTATATGTGGAACTAGTGTTAACAACGAAAAACGGTATATTACCAGTTTGGAGCTTTCTGAAGAGAAGAGCGCTATTGCAACACAAATTGCGCCTCGGTGTTTTCATGATCCGTTTGGTCTGCGGTCTTCTACCGCAATCTGCCGAACGACAACTACAGCGTATTGTCTTTCCAGAACTATGGCCGAGAGCGGTGACAATGAATCGGCTTTAGTATTTGTACACGAATGGCGCAGCAATCACACTCCAGATAGCAAGGAGGCCCTTTTTTCATTCTTGTTTATCAACAGTGATGAGAAATATATTTCGGATTTAACAGACGCCACCGTCGGTGAAAATGATCATCTTCGACTTCATCTTTATGACAACAAAACACACGCATCACAGGCACACCAACAAATTGAGAGAAAAATGAGCTACGAAGAGTGTGCTAGAAAGGCCTTATTGCGAAGTAATTGTTCTGATGGGTTTCATTGCATGACAGCAGAACGTGACGGCACGTTGGAAAAAGAAATTAAAAAATGTTTTTCAAGACTTCCATCGCCATGTGTTGTGGCTTCTTATGTTGATTCTATGGAGCATGTATGTGTAAGTCCTGTATTTTGTATGGGGTTTTTTGAAGGTGATGAGAAATGCACGCTTTGTCTGGCCCAGACTTCACCTTTATATAATCATGTGTATGCGATTGGAGCACGGGTAACTTTAAACATTTTCCATTCAAACGGAGATGTAATATATGATAATATACAAGAAGAATATCCATTTTGGATAAATCAAGCTGAAAATGCTGCATGTTTTTTTGAATATCAGGGAGGGCGTTATGTGACTACAAATGTCCTCAAGAAAGAATGTACGCAAGCTGTTTTTATAACAATGGAATCCCTCTTGCTTGGAGACCAACTTTTTGTAATAGGACGAGTCTTGTGTGACACGCCGCGTAATGTTTTGTTTAAGAAGGGAAGTCTATTTTACTCTACTGATTTATCTTTATGCGAACAAATAAATCCTGTTTTATTTACAACAGTACATAAATTTTACGGAACTGTGGGCCTGATTGGACATGGATGTCATTTATGTACTTTGTGCCCACCCATCGTGGTTCTTTATTGCCCTCTTGAGTCCACTGGTTTCGTCTTGGATGAAAAAAATTCTGGAAACGTTTGCAATATTACCTTTCCCTCAAGAGAGGGAGGAGCAGTATTTTTTGGAAAGACTTATGAGGAGTTGAGGTCAGCAATTCCTGTTCCAGCCAGCCAAGTTTCATCCTTACCCCAGGAGAGTGTGGCGTTTCGTGTAAAAGGTCGAATTGTACAGACTCTTACCGAACGTTTGGCTAAAGATGTTATATGTGTAATTGCTGTTATGGGCATTTCAGATATCAATAATGATCCCCTTGTGTTAAATGTACCTTCCCAATGTAAAGTGTCAGAGTACAACAATGAACATGTGATTCAATAGGGGGCAGAAATCGGGATGTAATTGTAGATAGAAATGTATATGTTCTTGTAACATCAAACTTTTTATTTTCCTTTTTTTTAAAAAAAAACTATGAATTTTGGCAGTTCATTACCCGTTTTTATTTGTGGGTTATTATTATTAGCATTGTATACACGCGTAACTTGCATGTGCCTGTGTGTAATTGTGTCTCTATTTTATTTGCTATTTGTATGATTATTTATTTATCTCTTTGCATAGACTAGAAAGATGGTTGTAGAATATCTTAATTCGGCAGATGCACAGCGTCTGATTGAATTTCTTGGTGATGACAAACTCACTTTTTCTACGCTTGAAAAGTCCTTTAAAGAAGCCTTTTCTAAGGACACTTTTCTAAATGTATCTAGAGCCATTCAGCAACTGGTTCAAAACATGATTACATCAGGAGAAGGGGTGGGTATAGTGTCCTCCTTATTTATTTTGAACATTATGCGCAAGATGGAATGTGAAACGGCCAAGTGTGTGTTTTATGATGCACTTCTGGAATTAGAACGAGCTATGCGGCAAGATGTTTGTTTTACAGAGCAAATTAAGTACGCATCTAAAGAAGCAAAGGAGGGGAAAAAATCTCTTGAGGCTACCAACGCGGAAAAATATCGCCTTCATTGTGCAGCAAAGGAGTTTGCTTTTCGTTTACTCGCAAACAAGGTGTCACCTGACGAGACATCGCTTGCTGTACTTCATGATAAACAGGAACAAATTGATGCAGCATTGAACGCATGGGAAAGTAACGGCCTTCAATTGAAAGAAGCTATTGCTAATATTGCCCACTGTTGGGCTCAAGACGTTGAAAAAAATTCTTGTGAAACACTATCAAAAATGTCTGCCGTTCTTGGTTCTGGCGTCCATGCAGCTTTGTTGCTGCAAGCAGCACGACCTCAGTTTCCTTCGCTTCCTTTGGTATCCGGTGAACTTCAGTTTCTAATCCCTGGGGGATCCCCTGGGAGTGACTTGTTGTATTTCGACGCCGAACCAGTTACAGAAGAGTGGAAGATATCCAAAAAATTGATTACTCTGAGCTGTGACACTCCATTAAGCAAGGAGGAACAACAGCAGCTCATTCATACACTCTCATCAGGTGATGTGTTTAATCGGCTTGGAATAAACATTGAATTGCTCGGTCGCATCGCCATTCACAATCCAGATGTGAGTGCTGCTTTAATGTTGAGACTTCCTCCCCAGGAGGGTAGTCAATGTATTCGACATATACTAAAAAGCTCTGTTTCTCCTGAGCATGTCGAAACAGTTCTTCTGCACGCATCAAAGGTATTGCAACAAGACAATCTTCGCACCTACATTACCGGAAAACTCCATTTTTTTAAGGAGAAAACATCTTTATCATCTAGTGATAAAGATTCAATAAAAAGCTTCATTATGACTCTTCATCAGCTTGTAACTAAGGCTTCAAAAGATAACAAAGATATGTATATTGCGGAAGCCTTGAAGAGTGACATTACTCACTTGTGTGAGAAGTGTGACCTACCAGAAGTAAGTGCAAGGTGGGAAGAACTAAAGTAATGCGCTTACACTTTAATGAGATAAGGAAGCAATCTCCTTTTTCATTGACTGAAAGAGAGGGGGCATATTTGCTTCTACATATAATTTTTGTCTTTTTGTCCGTCTGTTTCTTCTCCGTCTGAAGCGAGTATTGTTTCATGAATGCATTGATGTTTATGTCAAATAATGCCTACGCATCAATTGGATTTAGTTATTGTTTATTTATTTAATTCTTCCTATTTGTTGTTCCTGTTGCCATTAGCGTTCCCATAATAGGGTAAACAAGGTCTTTTCACACGCAGAAAAGGAAAGAAAAAGAATAGTAGTCATTGTAAAGGTGACTGAGCTGTTACTCTTGAAAATATTTGCGTTGTAGGTCATGTATAGCGACTCGGAATATGTTGGCTTTACATATATTACGCCTACTAGCACGCTCCCATGCGAAATGGTAGAAGAGAAACAGTTATCGTCTGAGAAGAAGCAGATGATTGTCTCACAAACACTATCAGATCATAGTAGCACTGATAGTTGTGGCGGTGTTGATGAGGGTCCCACCAAATCGATGTCTTTTTTTAAAAAAGGCTTCGGAGTCACACTACATGTTAGGTTTTTTGACACTCTTAGAAAGGTAACCAGGACACAATGCTTTTCTATGCGTCCACACTCCACTATGAAGTACATCTATGAAATTGTTCACGCATGGCTCCCTGAGATGGGAAATTTGGTGTGCTATACCGTGCACAGCGAGACTCATGGAGTGATGTATCCATTGATAAAAAAAGTTCTTCATCCAGAAGATGATGCACCTAGACTTGTTTTTTGTCAAGAGGTGTTTTTGCCATTCCATAACCCAGCACATTGCTGGGGTGTAGTGAATGTCGTTGTACTGCAGCATCATGGCTCTCTTGTTCCCGGATACATACCTTTGGTAGTGCACCGATCGTCGCTGCAGTCCAAAGAGGCATTACAAGAACAAATTCGTCAGCTTTGTTGTGCTTCCCCTGCGGAAGCCAATTATATGAAGTCACAGCCTTTTCTTAACTGTGCCGTTTCTGCTGGGCTTATGGATTTAGTGTCTTTTTTTGACTCGTGTAACGACGACTCCACGGCCCTCCCCCAGATTGCTGTAGTTTATCCTGCTTTGGCACCAGGGGATTTAGTCTGCGTGGATATGCTGGACCGAATGAGTCGACGGTTTAGCGTACAATGCATGATCAAATGCAGCCGGCAAAAAGATGGTATACTCTGTTATGACGTGGAAGAAATGGAAGTGGGTTATATTTTGGAAGGCTTGACATGTGTTCAAGTATTACCTTTGTAAATATCCGATACGTTTTCCCATTCAATATACGTTTTATGTTCTTTAGTTGTGGTGTCTTGGGGCTGTGGCATTTCTTTGTTTGTGTGACTCCCCCCACCCACTTTATATGTCAACTCACAAATATGCATTTACTGCTTCTCTTTTTTTTTTCTTTTCTTTTTGTGTGTGTGTGTGTGTTTGTTGAGGAAATTAAAAAATAAAAAAAGGAGGTATGGATCATAAGTTGTGGTCTCTGCCGGTAAAACGGGTTCCAGCTGCAGAGAAGCTTGATAGATCAGTGATATGGAACAATGCGCGCCTCTGCTATGAGCAGAAATTGTTTGGCCAGGTGACTTGTATCAGGTACAACAATGCCGGGACGACCGTCGGTTGCACGTCAACCAATCAACTCACACTTTTACGGGTGCCGCAGACAGAGGGTGTGATCACCAATGAGCAGCGTGAAAAAAAGTGTTTTTCTCTTCGATTTCGAGATGATGACAAAATGGCTCTATTCTCTTTTAACCAGCGCGTTGTTGTTAGGTCCACCCAAACTGCATTTGAGCGGCAATTTTTGGGCCATTTTAGGGAAGTCAGGGACGCCATATTTCTGGATCGGCATAACTTTGTCTCGGGTAGCGACGACACAACTGTGAGGCTTTGGGACATCATGAACGAAAATGCACTACTTGTTAGTAAGACGCATACTGATTATGTTCGATGCCTGGAGAATTATTCGTCAGGTTGCTTCTTTAGTGGTTCTTACGATCACACCATTAATTTGTGGGACACACGACTCGGATTTGAGCATCCTGTTCAATCCAGTGAACGTCATATTGGAAGTCCTATAGAGGCAATGCTTCACACACATACAAACCTGTTGGCATGCACGGCTGGAGATCAAGTGATATTGTTCGACATGCGTAAGGGTCTTTCTACAGTATTTTTGCAGGAATCACACCATACCAAGACGGTAGTGGCCCTCGCATTTTCGAAGGGAAATAATGTGCTTCTCACTGGTTCACTTGACCAACGTGTGAAGTTTTTCTCCTTGGAGAATGGGGGGCTGGAGCTGCTGGCCAGCAAGAAATATGATGCGCCGGTGACAGCCGTGGCGATTCATCCAAGCTCATCTGAGTTTGCTGTCGGCACTGCAGGGGGAGATCTTCGCATCATGAGGCTTGAGAGTGCGCTTGACCAAAAAAGGGAGGAGGAGGAGGAGGAAGGTGTGCTGAAGGAGGAGGGACTTGAAGGGAAGGAGGAAAATAAACGAGCCGACTTTTTGACTACAAAGATGCATGATGTGCGACAGCAACTCGTGTCATATCAGTACAATCGGGCCCTAAAGACGGCTCTCTACTCTCGTAACCCGGACGTTATTGTGTCTACGCTGGAGGAACTTGTCCGTCGAGGTGCTCTACACGTGGCCTTGAGTGGCCAGAACGATCGGACAGTTGTGCGCATCCTACGTTTTTCGGTAAACCACGTTGATTCCCCTCAGTTCTGTGAGTCAATGATGATTGTGCTCGACGTCATCTTTGAAATTTACGCGACGTGTGTGGGCAGGAGTAGCTTCCTTCACAGAGAAATAATGATTGCACGTCGGCGGTTGGGGGCTGTTCTCGCGACCCTTCAACGCATGGAGCATACCTTGAGCATAATGGAGCTAATAGTAAATGACGTGTAAGCCTCGTATTTATCTAAACATGAGTGAGGAAGAGACTGCGAGTGGCATGGGCAGGGCGGTTGCGTGTTGTAAGAGTAACGTTCCAACCGAATAAAGATGAGGAATAATAATAATCAATCATCAGCCCGTTTTATTCACATTTTTCTTTCTCTCTCGCGACTGTCGTTGCCGTCACAAAGGTTAATAAAGCACACACCGAAACCAAGAAGGGAATAATCTCATCTGAAACAGAAGAATAAATATATATATATATATATATATATTTAAAAGAATCATCATGTTCCGTCGTATGACTGTCACCCCGTTGCGGAACTGCATCTCACGCCGCGCCTTCGGAAAAACTGCGCGACTTCTTAACTTGGACTACCAGGGCTATAAGACGGCCACAGTGCGTGAGGCGGCACCTGAGTGGGCCGGCAAAGCTGTGGTAAATGGAAGAATAAAGGACATCAGCTTCAATGACTACAAGGGCAAATATGTTGTTCTTCTTTTTTATCCCATGGATTTCACCTTTGTGTGCCCCACAGAAATTACGGCCTTTTCAGATGCTCAAGCCGAGTTTGATAAGATGAACACCCAGGTTGTTGCAGTGTCATGCGACAGCCAATACTCGCATCTCGCTTGGATCGAAACTCCGAGGAAGCGAGGTGGTCTTGGCGAAATGAAGATTCCCGTGCTTTCTGACCTCACCAAGGAAATATCCCGTGACTATGGGGTTTTGATTGAGGAGCAAGGGGTCTCTCTGCGCGGTCTGTTCATCATCGACGATAAGGGAATTCTTCGTCACATCACGGTGAATGATTTACCGGTGGGTCGCAGTGTCGAAGAAGTGCTTCGGGTTGTGCAAGCATTTCAGTATGCCGACAAAAACGGGGACGTGATTCCGTGCAACTGGAAGCCGGGCAGGCCAACAATGAAGCCTGAAAAGGCAAGCGAATATTTTGAGAAGAATAATTAAGCGCAAATGGTGAGGGGGTGTTTGCTTTAAGATGTTAAATATACATACATATTCTTATTATTATTGTGCTCGTCGTATTGTTGTCATTGGTAATGTGTGTGTGTGCGAGTGGTACTCCCCTGTTCTCCCCTGTTTTCCTGCGCATTGTCTCGCACTTCGCTGGGTGCGTCGGTGTGTTTTTTTTTATGCTGGTGTGGTTGACCCTTTTTGTCTTTTTGTGTGGCCTCCCTGCTTAAACGGAAGAGAGTGGGTGGGCGCTGTGTGAGTGCGAGCAATCCAGTGGACCACAGACACGTCATTTTGGGCTCGGGGGTGGTGTGATTGTGCGGTAACGTGACGAGGGTTGCGTGGAGTTCTTTTTTTTTGTTGTTGTTTTTTGCCACCTTTCTGTAAAGGGGTAAGAGAAGATGTCTAAAATAAGTATCCCGCCGAAGGGCGAGCGTCGTGGGGGAATTCCGGCCGAAAAGTCCTGCAACCCAAAAGTCTTCTTTGAGATATCCATCGACAACAAACCGTCCGGACGGATAACCATGGAGCTGTACGCGGACACGGTGCCCAAGACCGCCGAGAATTTTCGGGCCCTTTGCACGGGCGAAAAGGGCCGAGGCAAGAGTGGGAAGCCACTCCACTACAAGGGCTGTGTGTTCCACCGTATCATACCGGGATTCATGATTCAAGGTGGTGACATTACACGGGGGAATGGCACAGGCGGGGAGTCTATTTACGGCACCAAATTTCGTGATGAGAGCTTTTCTGGCAAGGCCGGCAAACATACGGGGATGGGCTGCCTCTCAATGGCGAATGCCGGGCCCAACACCAACGGATCGCAATTTTTTATCTGCACTGCCAACACACCGTGGTTGAACGGCAAACACGTTGTTTTTGGCCGCGTCACTGAGGGTCTCGATGTCGTGAAGAAAGTCGAACGGCTGGGCTCCGAGTCTGGAAAGACACGTGGCCGGATAATCATTGCCAACTGCGGTGAGGTTGCGGCGCCGGAGGCGAAGGAGAAGCCAACCAAAGAGCGGGACGAGGCGAAGAAGGGTGCAACCGCCCCAAAGGTTGAGGCCGCCGCGAAGAAGCGCCCACGCGACAGTGAGGAAAATTCCGAGGAGGTAAAGAAGCGCATTCAGGAAAAGAAGGCAAAAATTGCTCGACTTCGTGAGCAGCTGGAGAAGTAACTTGTGACAGCGGTCGAACCACAGCGTCTAACCAAACGTAACTGAACATATACGGCAGTCAATGTCTACTTGGAGCGAATAATGTTTTGCCCCTTCCTTTGTTGTTCTAATCACCACAGGCAGCTCACGCACGCAGGAAAAAAGAAAAAAATAATAATAAACGAACAATAACATAAACATTTATTTGGTTTCCTCCTCTTGTTAGTTTTCATTCTCCTCTTTTTTTTTTCCTTTTTCATGGTCTTTAGCGATCAGGATGCGTGGCAGAGGAGGTGGCCTGCTTTGCTCCACGCTCATGTGTCGCATCTCATTTGTAGGTGCGGGAGGGACTCGGCGGATTGAGCGCCAGCAGGGAGAATTGCAGAAGGTGGGAAACCCAACGACGTTGCTGGAGGGAAGTCACGGGAAGCACGCCAGCTGCAGTGGCACATCTGGCACAGTTCCGTTTGGGAAGAGTGTTGATCGCAGCGGGGACGAGGTGAGGATGCAGGCACTCCTACAAGAGCATGAGCAGCGTAGAATTGCCCGTCGAGAGGCTTTTTTGAAGTGGCAGGCGGGTCAACGCGAAAAGGGCGCAGCACATCGTTTGGTGCGCCAGGCGAAGACCCAAGAAAAGTTTAAGCGACATCACTACCACACACAGAGCGGGAGGCTGATTTCTGTAGCGCTCTCTCACAATGTAGGAAGTAGCAGCAGCGGCAAAAACGCCGATGGTGTTATGGATTTTGCGTCTTCGCGTCTGCATGAGGGCGAGAGAGGACGCGCGACAAGTTTTTTGCTTCAGTGCGGTAGCGGCAGTGGTGGGAGAACACTTAACGGGCGTTGAGTTTTTTTTTTTTTTGTGTGTATGTGTTGTTTCTCTTCATTACGGAACCAAAATGAAAAAAAAGAGTGGGAGGTGTCAGAGCAGAAAAAAAAAAAGGGGAAGGGGGGGGATATGAAGGCACGAAAGATATATTTTTACATATATTATTCGTTGGTGTGTTTACTCATTCATTACGGTGTTACTTTTGCTGGCGGTGCGTCGTGCTTCTGGTGTCTCTTGGCACTGGAAGGCTTGGCGTGCCGCGCAAATGCGTACATATATGGCGACCCCTATTGACACGGAATCTTTATGATGTTTTCCAGGTTCTTAACGGGCGTCAAAGCTGTTGCTCCCTGCGGCGGCGATTGGGCCAACCGACTTGGGCCTGTTGTGATATTTGGCTACGAGGCGGGGGCATTAAACAGCTCGATGCTTTTCAACTACTTCTGTCAATCCCTCGTGGACTGTGATCACTACGCGGAGCTTTGTTTTCACGATAACGGGCCCATCGAATGCCCCCCTGAAACAGTGATGTTTATGCCAATATTAAAGTGCAGGCATATGCTGGAGAGCTCAGGTGCGACGGCCACCCCAACCAGCGATGAGTGGTACATGGGCGCTCTCAAGGCGACCACGGAATTATTGGAAAAGGGGTATGTCCCGGCCAGCGTGGGAGGAGAGACAGATCTGCCACACTGCCAATGGTAGAGTCGTACAAGCGACTTTTTCCATTTGACGATGTTGTCATCATTCACTTTTCTGCTCAGCCACTTGTTGGAAGCACCCGGGTTCCTCTCCGAGTTCTCCTAGATAAGGGGCTGTTAAAGGGCATCGTGAGCGTGGGCAATTGGCTGGTGACCTCAGAGGATCGAAAGGTACGCAGACATCACAAAATGTTTTACATGGACATGCATGCCATTTATTCCAATGGCTTGTTTTGTATACGGGACATTCGAAATGGCTACCCCGTCTTTATTGACTTTGATGCCAACATGATGGATCCCGCCTTTGCGCTGGCTGTGAGGTGCCCAGTTGCAGGAGGGCTCTCAACACGAGAATTGCTGCATATAATGAACGACATTAGAGGACCCAAGGTGGTGGGCTTGGACGTGCATGGGTACTTTCCAGACCTCGATGTGTGCCGAAAGGATGGAGTTGGTCTCACACAAATGGCATTGGCGAAGGTGATTAAAGAGGTGATCCTCAAGGTCTACACTATCTCCACACAAACAGAGGAGGAGGGAATGGCAAGGGTTCAAGTGCTGCAGCGGCAGGGAACCATATCGGAAAATCCGTACCCTGATCACTGATGTCATCATATTACAGCTGCTGTGAGCTTCCTTTTACTGTGGCCGCACCAAAAATAAAAAAAATGTAAAATAGTTCTTATCCTACCTGAGAAAGAAATTTATGGTTTTCTCGGATGTCTTTGGCTTCCTGTGTTCTCTTTATCAATGTTTCTCTTCTTCCCACATATGCATATACATGTGTACGCGTCCTCTCTTAGAAGCGAGGTTTAAAACAAATTCAAAGAAAGGGAATAAGGAAGAATGAGCGATGCAAATGTTGTCACGCTACGAGAGGATTCGTCTGACCTTCAAACGCAACTGGAACAACGGCGTAGCCAGGCACGAAACCTAGAACTGCAGGTGGCAAGGAAGGGAGCCGAGCTTCAACGTGCTAAGGAGGAGCAGGCACTTCTCAAGGAGCTCCGGACGGTGAATGAAGTAACGCTACGCAAGAAGCAGCAGAGGGATGGCACAGAAGACTGGAGGCCGCTTAAAATCTCAGCAGAATCTTTGGCGGAAGTTATTGCCCTGGAGGATGAAATCAAGGAAGAAAACAGGCGGACGACGGAATTGAAAGAATCCGCTAACACCATCAGCCGTCAGATGGAGAGCGTGGAGCACGGCATTGAAAATGTGCTCAGCCGCATGGCACTGGTGAAGGATGTTGCAAGGTGGAATAGGGAGGAGACCGGTGCTCTCGGTGGCGCAGTTGCCACAAATGAATGGATTCTACGGAAGAGGAGCTTGACTGCGCTCAATGAAGAGCAAAAAAAAGTGAAGGCACTCTCTGCGTTGTTATCGGAGCGCATTGAAGCCATTAATAAGGAAATGGAGGAGCATGAACAAAAGCAAGAACAGCTGGCCGTGGCACAGCGGGATTTGGTTGAAGCCAATGATAAATACGGGAAGCTTATTGAAGAGCTGAAGTCTGCGGAGCGACTCATTAAGAAGAAGGAGCGCATGCTGGACGCCAACGTCAACAAGGAGTGCAATGAGTATAAGAAGGTTAAACAGTTGGATGGGGACAAGAAGGTACTGTATGGCACCCTCTCCAAATTTCGTGAATCCAATGTAAACAACTCCAAGTCCATCCTTTCTCTTGAGGTGCGCCTCAGGCAACTGGAAACCAAACTGGAGGCAGTAAACCTTTTTGTTCAGCAGGTGTTTGCCCAAGTGGAAGAGGAGGAGTTAATGGATGACATTCCCGAGGATGCCACAGAGGTCTCGTTGGAGCAGTTTGAGGAAATTTGCCGCGACGTTGAGCTCGCGCGGGAAACGCTGATTCAGCGCGAGAATCAGCTCAACGCCCACGACGCGAAGGTCGAACAGCTGGGGCGAAAGATGCTGATTCTCCAAAACGCGATTGCGTCTCGTGCCACCTCCGCTCAGCTTCAGATCAAGGGGAATGAGAAGGAGTTTGAAACGCTCATCTCACACGTCGACTACATGAAGGCAGAGTTTGACGAGGAGTACAAGAAACTGTCTCAGGAGAACGCGATGTTGCAAAGCAAACTAGGGCAGAGGCAGTGAAAATTAGGGAAATTTTTATTTGTGTTTTTGTTCTCGTTTTTTTTTGTTTTTGTTTTTGTTTTTCTTTGCCCCCATCACCCGCTCATACTTCACGTGTTGTTGACGTTCTTCCGTTGCCGTTTTTGTTTTTGCGCCTGATACACTTCCCGCCCCGCCGCGTATTTTCGCATGCGCCACGGAGGGGAAACAACGGCGACGGCGACGAGAGCAGACGTGAAGGGAACCAGACGAGAAGGAAGGTACAAAAAAAGAAAAAAAAAAAGAAAAAAGAAAAAGAAAACCGACCAACAAAACAAACAACGACACACACAAAAAGAACTTGTCTGGTGTCGGTGCATCAATGTGGATCTATGGCTTTACTCACTAACGACAAATAAAGAAGGAAAGAAAGAAGGAACGGGAGAAAGAGGGAGGTTTTGGCTGTTTCGTGTGCCTGGTGGTGTTTCTGTATTTCTGAGGTAACGCAAGAGTGTGTGCATTTTGCATTTATTTTTCTCCGTAGGATTTCTTTTGGGTTGGAAGTGGGCGCGTGTGTGTGCGGGGGAGGCGGTGAG